GAAATATGGTCCTGGGCTAAGAGATGCTAGAAAGCAGAGATAAACTATGGCCCACTGTCCTGAGCACCGACTTTACTCAATGGTGAGTAAGTTAAATATTTTATATATGGAATAGAAATGAATGGATTTATAGGCTAAAACAAGACGTTTTGAAGAAATTTTATTTACCCTCATGGTGAACCATTTCAGGAACTCCCTAGATGAAGGCGCTGTCTCTCCCTCATAATTAGTGTATTCAGAAGAAACTTTGAAAACTTTTAAAAGCACTGATATAGATATTTTTTTAAGTAGAGTATGGGGTAAAAAGCTCTTAGTATTCAGCTGCTAACTCTGTGACATCACAAAAATTTAATCACTGTGAACCTAATATTTTTGCTTGTAAACGAATGTTAGATCCAAGATAATGCCCATCTTTGCAGATATCTGTGAAGAGGAAGGTGATGTGTAGAGAGTAAAAGACACTGAAGCGAATTACTCTGCCCGAGACCGCATAATAAGGAAACAGTAGAATTAGATTTCAGATCTATATTTTTATCAAAGCCCTTAAGGCCTGGCATGCTGTGATTCATGGGGCTGCAAAGAGTCGGACATGACTGAGCAACTGATCTGAACTGAACTGAACTGAACTGAACTGGCTTTTATAGACAGTTACTTAGACCATTGCCTTTCTTTGGGATTGAAATGAAAACTGACCTTTTCCAGTCCTGTGGCCACTGCTGAGTTTTTCAAATTTGCTGACACATTGAGTGCAACACTTTCACAGCATCATCATATTTTAGGGTTTGAAATAGCTCAACTGGAATTCCATCATCTCCACTAGCTTTGTTCGTAGTGATGCTTCCTACGGTCCACTTGACTTCACATTACAGGATGTCTGACTCTAGGTGAGTGATCACACCATTGTGATTATCTGGGTAGTGAAGATCTATTTTGTATAGTTCTTCTGTGTATTCTTGCCACCTCTTCTTAATATCTTCTGCTTCTGGTAGGTTCATACTATTTCTGTCCTTTATTGGGCCCATCTTTGCATGAAATGTTCCCTTGGTATCTCTAATTTTCTTGAAGAAATCTCTAGTCTTTCCTATTCTATTGTTTTCCTCTATTTCTTTGCATTGATCACAGAGGAAGGCTTTCTTATCTCTCCTTGCTATTCTTTGGAACTCTACATTCAAACTGGTATATCTTTCCTTTTCTCCTTTGCTTTTCGCATCTCTTCTTTTCACAGCTATTTGTAAGGCCTCCTCAGACAGCCATTTTTCTTTTTTGCATTTCTTTTTCTTGGAGATGGTCTTGATCCCTGTCTCCTGTACAATGTCACAAACCTCATACATAGTTCATCAGGCACTTTGTCTATCAGATCTAGTCCCTTAAATCTATTTCTCACTTCCACTGTATAGTCATAAGGGATTAGATTTAGGTCATACCTGAATGGTCTAGTGGTTTTCCCCACTTTCTTCAATTTAAGTCTGAATTTGGCAATAAGGAGTTCATGACCTGAGCCACAGTCAGCTCCCAGTCTTGTTTTTGCTGACTGTAGAGAGCTTCTCCATCTTTGGCTCCAAAGAATATAATCAATCTGATTTCGGTGTTGACCATCTGGTGATGTCCATGTGTAGAATCTTCTCTTGTGTTGTTGGAAGAGGGTGCTTGCTATGACCAGTGCGTTCTCTTGGCAAAATTCTATTAGACTTTGCCCTGCTTCAGTCTGTACTCCAAGGCCAAATTTGCCTGTTATTGCAGGTATTTCTTGACTTCCTGCATTTGCATTCCAGTCCTCTATAATGAAAAGGACATCTTTTTTGGGTGCTAGTTCTGAAAGGTCTTGTAGGTCTTCATAGAACCGTTCAGCTTCAGCTTCTTCAGCATTACTGGTCGGGGCATAGACTTGGATTACTGTGATAGTGAATGGTTTGCCTCGGAAATGAACAGAGATCATTCCGTTGTTTTTGAGATTGCATCCAAGTACTGCATTTCGGACTCTTCTGTTGACTATGATGGCTACTCCATTTCTTATAAGGGATTCTTGCACACAGAAGTAGATGAACTCAGATAACTCATCTGAGTTAAATTCACCCATTCCAGTCCATCTTAGTTCCCTGATTCCTCGAATGTCGATGTTCACTCTGGCCATCTCCTGTTTGACCACTTCCAATTTGCCTGTTTCATAGACTTAGCATTCCAGGTTCCTATGCAATATTGCTCTTTACAGCATCGGACCTTGTTTCTATCACCAGTCACATCCACAACTGGGTGTTGTTTTCGCTTTGGCTCCATACCTTCATTCTTTCTGGAGTTATTTCTCCACTGATTTCCAGTAGCATATTGGGCACCTACTGACCTGGGGAGTTCATCTTTCAGTGTCTTTTTGCCTTTTCATACTATTCATGGGGTTTTCCAGGAAAGAATATTGAAGTGGTTTGCCACTCCCTTCTCCAGTGGACCACATTCTGTCAGACCTCTCCACCATGACCTGTCTCACACGCTAGCACAGTAACACTCAAAATTCTCCAAGCCAGGCTTCAGCAATACGTGAACTGTNTAAATGCTTTTCAAATATGTATTCAAATTTTATGATTATTATTTTGCCAACAAGGGTCTGTCTAGCCAAGGCTATGGTTTTTCCAGTGGTCATGTATGGATGTGAGAGTTGGACTACACAGAAAGCTGAGCACCGAAAAATTGATACTTTTGAACTGTGGTGTTGGAGAAGACTCTTCAGAGTCCCTTGGACTGCAAGGAGATCCAACCAGTCCATCTTAAAGGAGATCAGTCCTGGGTGTTCATTGGAAGGACTGATGTTGAATCTGAAACTCCAATATTTTGGCCACCTGATGCGAAGGGCTGACTCAACTGAAAAGACCCTGATGTTGGGAAAGACTGAAGGCAGGAGGAGAAGGGGATGACAGAGGATGAGATGTTTGGATGGCATCACTGACTCAATGGACATGGGATTGGGTGGACTCCGGGAGTTGGTGATGGACAGGGAGGCCTGTCACAGTGAGGTTCATGGGGTCACAAAGTGTCGGACACGACTTAGCAACTGAACAGAACTGAACTTAGAGTAAGTGTGAGACTCTCCTCTTATAGACTGAAAGTTCAAGGATAATTATATAGAGAAAGCTAAATATTCTGTTGGGTTATTTTTAACCCCAGTTTTAAATTTTACATTGCTCATATTAATCTTATGCCCTTTCACACTTTCACAATCTCTCCAAATAATTTTTTTTAGTTGAGTAATGATATACAGGATTGAGCACGGTCATTATTCATCCCAGATATTCTGGGACAGTCTTTGTTTCAAAAATCCACACCATTGAAATGCCCTGAAGAAGCCACTATTTCACTAACTCTGCACCAGAAACAGAAACAGCACCAGAAACAGCATAAAATACTGTAGTATTCAGGGGACACAGTCACCACAGGAGTTAATGTACAGGAAAATTACAATGTACCTTGATATATGTGTGTGGGATATACTTGATATACTAGTAGAGATCATGGGATAGAAGCATTGTAGAATCATTGCACTGGAAGTATTTGATTTTGATCTAGTAATTCCAAGATAGTTAATTATCAGAAATCTGTAGTTAATGAGCTCTACGAATGATTCACATGCACGATGAGTTTTGGAACTCCTGATTTAGGAAATGATCTCCTTAAGAAAAAGCCCCATATATCAAGATAGTCACTAGGCATTTTCTGTTAGAGACGTTTGTAACCCATTAGTCACTGAAGTTTGAAAAGAACCACTTAGAGGTATTTGCAGAAACAAAGGATGTAGTGATGCAGTCCTTTCGTTAGCATCCTTCTGTATATAGTGGCAGTACTTTTTCAGCAAAATTTTCACTGTCCAAGTGGACCAGAGCATTTTCTGTCTTACATTTGATCGATGTGTTTATTAAACCAGATGACTGCAAGGGGGATGGAGATGGGACATTCACTGTGTCTACTGCACAGAGATTTATGAAAAGCAACAGGAGGCAGTGACTACCAATCACTGGTGGCAGCAGCTTTCTCTTACGGAGAATAATCAGACTTTGGGAGGACCTGCTATTAGAACCCATTTAACCCAAAACAGGGCTTCCCAAGTGGCCCTAGTGGTAAAGAATCTACCTGCCAATGCAGGAGACATAAGAGACGTGGGTTTGATCCCTGGGTTGGGAAAATCCCCTGGTGGAGGACATAGCAACCCACTCTAGTATTCTTGCCTGGAGAATCCCATGGACAGAGGAGCTTGGTGAGCTACAGTCCAGAGGGTTGCAGAGTCAGGCATGATTAAAGCAACAGTAGGCACACAACCCAGAGCAACCAAAATTACTACTGACATGATTTTAATTAGGACCTAATAATCAATGTACTTTTTAAATTCTTAAGGTGCATTTAAATGGGCAAAACCATCTTACTTTGAGTCATAAGCTATATACTGAGTATAGAATATATATTTAAATATTTTTAAAAGCGTCTAGTATTAATCTCTATCAGAAACAGTTAAGTTCAGAATGGACTTGGATGAGGAAAAATTAAGGAGTAGAGAATTTAAATAGTTTGTAGATATACAACAATGAAAAAACATTAAGTGGACCAGGTAAAAATTTATTAAAACATCTCAAATGTGGATGCAGGAAGTAGTATATTCCAGGAAGTGAGCTGTCCAGAAGCTTGAACTCCATGTTTTGATATTATCATACAATTTCCAGGAACACGGGGCTCCAAATGAGTAAAATGAATTATGAAGTCATAAAATCCTAGGCAATCCCAAACATTTTTTTTCTGAGAAGGTTCAATATGCTTCTAGTTATAATAGTTGCAAAACCTCTTTAGACTTTGGGCAAATACTCAGTGAGTATCTCTCACTGAAACTTTCCACCTCCTGCATCCTAAGCTTCCGTATTAATAGAACCATTCTTTTGAGAGCCTACTTGAAACACTATTTTCCTCATGGATTACTTCATACATTGGTATAAAAGTTCATTTTCTAGAAGATGGTATGATATCCTTACCTGTTTCACAGCTGTGCCCGGTGAAGCCTTGTGGGCAGGCACACACGTTGGCAGCAATACAAGCTCCTCCGTTTCTACAACCATCTTGGCAAAATGCTAAAATAATTCAGATACATGATTTTAGCACTTTATAAGGAAGTAGTTCAAGATTCTTCAAATTAACTTTTCTTTATTGCCTTGAAAATGTTGACATCAAACTATACATCCTATTATAATTTCATATTCATAATATACTTTCCATATAGGTAAGAAACTTCAACACAATTTGTAGAATAATATTCTTTCTGAAGTTAAGTGTTTCACCTATAAAAGAAAATACTGAACTTTCTTTTAACAAAAACCAGTAACCTTACACAGCAGGAAGTGCATTAGAATTAGTATTGTATCTCATTATAACAATCTAAAAATCTTGAAATTAAAACTATAAAAAATGGCAACTATCCTAGACAGTTACCTAAAGAGCAAACCACCATCTAGAGAATGAGACTCAGAAACTAGAAATGATTGAATCCAATGAGGCTTTGATCATTCTATACACTGGCCAAAATGTTAAAATACTAGAAAAATGCCCCATTTTTCAAAAAGCTATAAATCCATCCTAAAGGGATGAATTAGCCAATAATGAGAATTTGCCAAAGGGGTCTTTAGGAAGAGTCTTGCATTCCCCCGCCAAGGATAGGTCAGGATCCAGGGCAAAGAAACTTCATGGCCTGTTGTGTTAGAGTGGGTTTGTGAGTGAGGGTAGTTTTTCTGTGAGTAGAAAAGGGAGCCAAGCTTTAACCCATTGCAAGGGTGATGTTTTGAGATGGTTTGGCTTCAAAAAAAAAAAAAGAGAAAAAAGTGAGAAAAACAAGGTAGGTAAGACTGTACCCTTAGGAACTTCTGTTTCCACCTCAATTTATACTTTGTTTCTGTAAGAATCAGGGCTGCTCCCTCAGCCTGGCCAGGTCTGTCATAGATGAACCACATCAGCATTTTCCAGGCCTGAGGCAAAAGTTTTTCTCTAGTTTTCTGGAACATGCCTCCTCTAGTTAGTTAGGATGTACTTTCTCAGAGAGGTAAACTGTAGAAATCTGAGATTTTGTGGTTGAGTTAAAAGAAGGGGCTCAAAGAGGCCCACTTGGCTTCTTTGATTCTAGGTCCTAATCTGTCTTCATCCTAGGCAAAAACAATACCTAGTCACCAGGAATTTGCGAAGAGATTAGGAATTTAAGTCTCATAAAAAGAAAGGGTACATCATGTATATATCCTCATTGGAGTAATTTTCAAGATTTCAGCACATTGATGGAGGACAGGATGCAGATCCTACATCTAAACTACATCTCTTCCCAGCTTTTGACTTTCCCATCAGAGAGGCACGCAGGACTGGAGAGGTTTTACTCAGGCAACCTGCAGTCCTAATTTCCAGAAGAAGTTTATAGATCTTGGAAAGTTCTCATTTCAAAGAATCTTCTATCTGCGTCTACTCAAGGCTTCAAGAATTCTTTACACTATAAAGTTTACTCTTCATATGAATAAGAAGTGAGAGTCAAATACAACTAAGACTGAGAACGTTGGGCTCCCAGATGAAATCTTAACTCTCAGCACACCCAGATGCTTTGGGGAAGTCCTAAGGGTTCAGGTACACTATGCTATGGATTTAGCTTACCTCTGGATCAGTCTAGATTCTGAGGAAATCTTTGTGGGATTTGGACTCCTAAATGAGTAGGTCTTTACAATGCTCTAAATTATGGATTTCCATAACTTTTACAAACAGAGTAATCCTCTGGCTCATCCATGTCTGCATCCAGTGTATTGTTGTAGAACAGGCCTTAGACTCATGCTCCAAGGCCACTGCACTAATAATCATTTATTGTTATTTCCTGTCTCCCATATACATGGCATCAAATAAAATTAATTTTAGTAATCTCCGTGACAGTGTATTTGAGGAATGGGCAGTTTTGAAGCTTAAATGCCTAAATTAGACAAATCATAAGTTTTATATGACATAATAAGAAATATGGACTTTATCCTATGGAAGTCAGTATGAATTTCCAAAATAGTTTCCTCTATTTCCCTTGTGAACTAGGAGGTAAGCTCATCTGATGAAGGAAAAAGAGAGCATGTATGCAAGAGAGAATTAATGGATGGTGGTAGATTAGTTGGAATATCCACTGATGGAAATGAAAATCTGAAAATTATTGATTGGTATTGACAAACCAGGTAAAATCAGAGATGATAATACATACGAACCCAATATTCCCAGTTAATTAGTACCTAACAGCTCAAGAGAGAAAATAGAGAAGAAAAACAGTCAGACTGATCCCAAATAGATATTTTACAGTGAATCATGGTAGTAAAACAAATGGGTTGATAGTACTGCTGAAAAAATACAGCTGTAATGTTTGGACTCAAAAAGAAATATATGAACCTGGGAGGAGACTAGAAAACTGGATGAAAAGGAAAGGTCAGAGAGGTTAAAGATGAAAAATTGTGAAAAGAACAGAGGGGAAAAACTGGAAGCAAAGGGACTTTGGGTTAGACAATAAAAAGTTAAAGTCTAGATTTCAAAGATGGAGCAGTTCTGTACAAAAGTGCCTAGGGTATGGTTATGGCTACGGTCTGCTTGAGAGGAACAGAGGTGAAAAACCACTGCGGTTGAGGTGATGGAACATTAAATCAGAGTTGATGAACAGCTGGCCACTTAAACACTGATGTAATCCAAGAGGAAGGACATGAGCTACACTTTGAAGTTCTCAATGGCTGTGGGAAATAGCCAGAAGGCAGGTAACAGTGATGAAAAAGGGTGGAGGGAAGGAGAGATGGACTGCATCATCCCTAATGGAAGAGGTATCAGCACTAAAATCTTTTACCTTTGCATGTGGTTCCATTCCCGGTATAGCCTGGCTTGCAGACGCAGTTGTGTCCTCCAACAGTATTGAAGCATAAAGCGTTTTCATCACAGTTGTGTTGATTTGTGGCACATTCATCATGTTCTGAAAGGAGGATATAGTTTTGTTACTCAAAGATAGATTTTCAAAGACACTGCGTTTTAAATTGAACCTTTATCTTTGTTACTGTATGGTATTTCTTTCCAACAAAAACATGCACAAAGTATCTATTAAAGAAGAGTTTGTATTTTGAGGTACATACATAGTGCATACATCCACAAACTTTGAACCCATAAAGATTTGGACAAAAGGCAAATGAATAGTAGGAAGGAATAAAGGAGCAAAGAGGGAAGGATTGGGATTAATTCTCAGAAGTAGATCCCACAGCCAGCTGTTTGTAGTCTCAGTGATTAATATTTGGGGAATTATCTCATGATATAAATCGGCCCCTGACTTTTTCCTGTAGCAAGGGAAGGATGATAGGAAAGGAGGTGTGACTGTATTGCTCCACGAATCCTGACCTGCAGGATAATGGAATTGAAGCCCTGGGAATTAGACGCAGTTAACACCCACATCCACACTTGCAAGCATAAAGATACACATGCAAACTGCTGGGGGAGTATTGGCATTTCTTTGTAAGTTGTCTCTTTCTGCAAAGGAGGTCATACTTTTCTTAAATAAGACAAACTTGCCTTTATAGTATGTGGAAACACAAACTTTTTGAGATATACAGTCAATATGATAAACTTCTTTAACTGTGTGTAACCTGACACTTTCAAAAGCACCGAATCACTTAATACCCCTAGCACTGCTATGAGAGAGCCAGAACCAATGTCACTATCACTAGTTTAAAGACGAGTAAATGGTGGCTCAGAGTGCTTCAGGGGCCTGCCCAAATTCACAGTCACATCAGGCAACTTCAGAATTCGAGCTCAGTGTTCAGCAAAAATGTAAATGTGAGGAATAACTACAGTAAATATGAGAAAGAAAACAGACCTAACACTAGAATCAAAATGAGTAGAAAATGAAATACAGATAAGGAAATGCATACGAGTTAGTTCACCGATCTGAAATCCCTACAGCCTCATACTCACACTGATCACCCAGGCTCTTGCATAAAAATTATTCAGGTCTAAAATTAAATATATATTTTAATATAATAACATTAATTAAGCCATTAATTCACCATGATATGAATAATCAAAGCAAAAAGAAATATTGCTTTTTCACTTTAGACCTCTTAGTATTTCAAACAACATACATACTATTCTGGACAACGTAACAGTAATATATCTAATTTTGAAAAAAAACTTGCCTTTGACATATGCAGATTAGACTACCATTTAACTACTAAAATCAGATGCACTTAATTTTTTTTAAAAAAGGTTAACATTTCACGATTCTATGTCCTGTGTTAAACAAGCACAAAGTTGGGTACCTTTAACTATAGCTCTATAATAACTTTATAAAGATTATTCCCAATAACTTTTCAGAGAACAGAGAGATTTCAGTCACTAAGGTTTTAGAATTATAGTAATAGATACCTTATTCTACAAATTCCTGGCTGAATTTCCCCCAATTATATAAAATTCCACTTTTATTATTTAGAATCAGAATATTTCAGAGATTTTAATAAATTTATGCATACTGATGGCAGCCTAGAAAATAAATGGATTACAAATGAGTGTCCTATAACTAGGGCTACCCTTGGACACGATTAAATATCGGAGAGACCAGAACGGGCAGACTACCTACCTCTGAGTTCAGCTGCCTAAAGCAAAATAAATCCACACTGTGTAGTCTGCAGCTGCTGCCAATTTTCTTTCCAGTGAATTCAAAGAGCTGCAGTTAATCTATCAATCTCTATATGGATAGCTACCGGCCCTTTAAAGACAGTTGCTGACTGACTTGATGCTCTTTTTATCCCTGCCTTGCTTGTCCTCTTAATTAGATGGTCCCCACTGGGTAGAGAAAGGGCCTAACAAGATTTAGTTTAGCATCCAGTATGGTAATGTTCAACAAATGTAAATAACTGCACAAGCCAGGATCTGGTTTCCTCTGTTCTCCTTTACTCACAGCATCCACTGAAATGATCAAGTGGGTCCTAAGCAATTCAAGGGTGAAGACAGTTTTCAAACGTACCAGTGCACACCGGTGCAAATGTTGTTCTCTTGGCCTTCAGTGCCTGCTCCATGGATTCTCCTGGAAAATTCTTACTACTTTTAAATTCAGCTCAGTCACTCAGTTGTGACTGACTCTTTGCAACCCCACGGACTGCAACACGCCAGGCTTCCCTGTCCATCACCAACTACCGGAGCCTACTCTAACTCATGTCCATCGCATCAGTGATGCCATCCAACCATCTCAACCTCTATCATCTCCTTCTCCTTCTGCCTTCAATCTTTTTCAGCATCAGAATCTTTTCCAATGAGTCGGTTCTTTGCATCAGGTGGCAAAAGTATTGGAGTTTCAGCTTCAACATCAGTCCTTCCAATGAACACTCATGACTGATCTCCTTTAGGATGGACTGGTTGGATCCCCTTGCAGTCCAAGGGACTCTCAAGAGTCTTCTCCAACACCACAGTTCAAAAGCATCAATTCTTCGGTGCTCAGCTTTCTTTATGGTTCAGCTCTCACATCCATACATGGCTACTGGAAAAACCATAGCTTTGACTAGATGGACCTTTGCTGACCAAGTAATGTCTCTGCTTTTTAATATGCATGTCTAGATTGGTCATAGCTTTTCTTCCAAGAAGCAAGTATCTTTTAGTTTCATGGCTGCAGTCACCAACTGCAGTGATTTTGGAGCCCCCCAAAATAAAGTCTCTCACTGTTAAATGACATATTTTCTGTGAAAATATCTTTCTCCTACCTCCTGCAGAGCTGGGAGCTTTGTCTGCTTTCCCTAGCACAAGGCTCTCTTAATATATTTTATCATAAGTGTAGGCTTCTCCTTGGTCCTCTATTTTCATGCACCACTTGGGACTGTGAAGTTTAGGAGAAGAATTTTACGTTTTTCTTTGGATTTCATTTCAGCATTCAAAGATAGTGTTTTGAATAACTGATTGAAAGAATGAATGACCAGATCAGGAAAGCTAGGATACCCTTCCTCTATTGTTAGCATTCAAGTCAACCTAATGCATTCAACTGTAGTGTGTGTGTGTGTGTGTGTGTGTGTGTGTGTGTGTGCGTGCGTGCGCTCAGTTGCTCAGTTGTATCTGACTCTGTGGCCCCAGGGGCTAAAGCCCACCAGGCTCCTCTGTTCATGGGATTCTCCAGGCAAGAATACTGGAATGGGTGGCCATTCCCTCTCCAGGGAATCTTCCCAACCCAGGGATCGAACCCCTATCTCTTATATCTCCTATGTTGGCAGGTGGATTCTTTACCACTGAACCATCTGGGAAGACCCATTCAACTGGAGACTAGATATCAAATGGAAAGCTACTGAAACCTAAGCTGGTTTTTTATGTTTTGTTTTGTTTTTTTGTTTATTTGTTTTTGCTGATTTTTCTATTATGGTGTTTAATTTGGTTTGGAATATTTCAAATGTTTATTAAGATAGCAAGACACTTTGAAAACAAGTATTGATTCCTTTTCATCATCACTTTAATTTTTTCACACAACTTAAAAGTTGGTCATACTCACAATTATCAACTAAGGTGTGATCTTAAGAAAAGTCTTTTAAAATGCCTTTCCTGAAATCTCACAGAAGAATTAACTTTAACTTGACAGCTCTTTACAAAAGAGAATGTGAATGAAGCAAGGAGCAAATATCCTATAAAGTTATCTCAATAAATAGTTAATGATTGCTGTGCCATATCCAGTTTTGGTCAAATGTCAATTTTTTTTACCCTTTCCCTGACTAACATATCCCAAAAAAACTCAACCACCAACCTACCAGTCAGCCTATCCATTTTTAAAACTTCCTCCAACATTTTAAACATATAATAGATAAAATAAGGAGGGAAATATTATGTCAGAATTTAAATCAATATTATATACCAGTGTTTGAGAAGATCATGTCAGGATGTAAGTGTGAATGAATTCCAAGCTTTATTTCATATATAGTGAAATGCAGACATTTCAGGTATGATGTTCAGAATGTTCAATCCATCAGATTCAATGGTATCTTCATATCCTCAGATGAAATGTCATTGTTCATGTGACATGACAGTTCAAACAATAGCTGGGATTGAAACCAAATGCACCCTTTTCTTTTTCTTTTCACTAAAAATATTAGCGCATAATAATTTTAATCAAAATATAATCATTTTTGTAACTATGCATTTTAAACTTACTAAAATGGAAAAGAAATATAGAAGGAAAACTCCATCCTTTAACAGTTCTAAAAATATAGTAATATGGGTGTCAATTATTACAGTACATTCTTTATAGAACAGATAATCTTACAGTGATAGCTGACAAAGATTTGTCTTGAATGCCATAATTTGCTTGCTCTGCATCTTCACCTATATGTGAAACTGATTTTATACCAGTGACAAAGGTCAGCACAGTAAAATTCATTTATGAAAATAAAGTAATAATCTGCACACCTGAATTTATGTTCTAATCAAGAAGTTCACTATGACACAAAATGCAAGTACTACAGAAAATAGGAGTGAAAGCAATTTAAGTGTATCTACAATTCAATTAAATACAACTTTTTCAATGTCTATTTTTCAATGTCTACTTGTATTAGGATTTTCCTGGGATTAAAAATGTGTTTGTAAGTAGTAGTTACCCTCACAGAGCTTATAATTTAGTTGGGGAGATTAGACAAAAACATAAAAGCCATACATGGCTTCATTATGAGAAATGCTGAAGCAAGGAATTAATCTCTGTTTAACAATGTTGTTGAGATCAAGGGAGAAAGTCATTTCTAGTTGGGTAAGTGGGAATACAAGAATGACTTTATGCAGAAGGGAGCATTTGACACAGATATTTTTCATGTGTGTGAGGGAAAGATACAGATTCTAAATTAAAACAGCACTTACATATTTGCTTCTTTTCTTTTTCGAATCTTGAGCCTCTTACAAGGTTGAATGAACTTCAGTGATTTATAATAATTGTACCTCTAATTCAGTGCTTACTATACACTACACACT